AACAACAATAACCACAGCGGCAATGACGATACGCACAATGAGCCGGACGCCGACAAGGACGACGACTCTGAGTTCCTGCAAGATGTGCCATACTCGTCCAGCAGCATCGACCGCAGCTCAGTTGGCTCCATACCCTGGGCCGATGATGCCATCAAGAAGAACAAACAGGATTGGGAGCGCGTCGATCGAATGTTAAGTGGCGAGGAGCCATTGCCAGAGCTGGAGCCAGAGCTGCGCAACGAGATCCTCGATTGGCAACGTAAATTTCCAAGCTTACTAACCCGCAAAGCGCAGCCTCTGAAGCAGCAAAGTGTGGACAGCAGTCGCCACAACGCGCTACCAGATGAAGCCGGCGAGATCGATTCCATATCAGATCTTAGTCTCAACTCTCTGGACGAGTACGACGAGAGGGATGAGGACGACGACGACGAAGACGACGGATTCCTCACGCCGACAGCAGCGAGACTTCGCCAGCGCCAGCACGAAGAGCCCCATCACATGGCATCCAGCCGTACCTATCTGCCTTCTGCCCAAAAACTTGTGGCCATGCTCGATAGGGATTTGCACATCACATCCGTGGCGGTCAAGCTGCGGAAGCGGGCGCACGCCCAGCAGCCGCCCGCCCCAGTCACCCCACAGTCGGCAACCGTGGCCCGCTCTCGCCTGCGGATGCCGCCCATCCTGAATGTGCTGGACTCGAATCGACGATTTCGCGGGCTCCTTAATAATCGAAGCTTTGTGCAGCTGACGCAGGTGCAGCACCAGCAACAGCTGCACCAACCCAAATCAGCGGCCCTGACTTATGCTAGCAGTGCAGAGCGACGGCAACTGGCGGGCGTCAGATCGGCCTGGAATATGCCCATGGCAGCCAGCCGTTTTCTGAACAACAGGCATGCCATTGTGTTGCCCTCACTGAACCGCCACAGAGACTTTAGCACGACTGCCACCTCCAGCCAGAGCATATCCAGTCGAGGGGCCACGCACAACAGAATCGCCGTAGACAACAATGCCAAGGGCAGGGAGTACGACATGCACCATTCGCGTCAGTATGGCATGTCGCTGGACCAAGTCACAACCAACTCAAACACCCCCTCAACTGGTCGGTCGATCTCCGCGGCCATTCATCATCCTCGATCGGAGTTTAACACTAGTAGTGCCTTCTATATACCGTACAGTGCCTCAAAATTCAAAGCCTTTAAGTAGCCAAATCCGATATTGTATACAACAACCGTTAGCAATAAAGTTTGGCCTGACTCAGGCATCTATGTAAACGCGCAAGGGTTGAGAAATAAGGAATAGGGATTCAAGAATAATAATGGTAAATCA